TAAGGCCTGAGACACAAAGGGCACACTGAGTTGATTTTCATTTTAAGCTAATAATGATGATTGTATTTGATATCATCAAATTATAAGTTGTAAGCGCAAGTTGCTGACTACCTAAACCAAAAATACCATAAACAATGAGTCAAAAAAAGAAAAACCCAAGCATTTAAAAAGTACAAGAATAATTTAGAGAACTCAAAATCTCAAAATAGCCATTTTAGAATGTCTTCCTTCTTAGCTCCTGAAGCCTTCCAGCTAATTTTTATTAATACGTATCAAGTGCCAATGGTAGTCTCAGAACTAAATCCAAGAATATAATCATTATTAGTTGGCCTGGAACCAGTGTATTATTCTGAAAATAAACGGGCATCGGAAGGTAGGAAAAAATGGAAAAGGGTTACAGCCTGGGGCCTGTGATGCGTAGTAGAAACCATCCAAGATTGGAATTAAATAAAACTGGGTTTCAGTCCCATTTTTACCACTTAGTGGTGGCTGTATCATTCTACCTCTCCAGACTTCAATTTTCTCATTTATAAATGGGTATTTTATCACATCACAGCAGTGCTGCTATGAAGAAAGAGACAATGCACATGACCTGCTAGGACAGTGTCTGGCACACTGTAAGCACTCCATAAATGGTGCTATTACCAGTGTAATTATTCCCAAAGTAAAATTTGAAACAAAACAGTAGAGAAAAGATCACCACTGATATTGGTCTGTCTGCAGGAATATATATAATGGCCTCTTGTGCTATTCTTGCTAAATAACTTTTCTCCTCAAATCTACTGACAATTCTCTTTTGACATATTCTTCCCATAAACCCTATACTGGGAAACACTATTTGAATATATGTATGTATGTATGTATATATGTATGTATGTATGTATGTATGTATATATCTCCTGCCATTAACTTTTTCAATCTTTATGCTTTCTTCAAAAATATCCCAAAAGCTCAAAGGGTAATTAGATTATATTGCCTTTTACTTGATTTAATATAAGAAGAGGAGACTTGGTCTGTGCTCCACATATTATTATAAGGAATATTAGTGGAGTGAAAATAAGAATCTGTGACTTAAATATCTCAGAATCTCACATTCTCAATTTCATCCATGGATATATCAGTTTTTTGGGGGGTTTTTTTGTCTTTTTTCGTGACCGGCAACGGATCGCAACCCTCAGTGTCGCACCCGTACCAGACCAGGACCGGCAACGGGATCGCAACCCTCGGTGTTGCACCCGCACCTCGCTCAGCCAGTGAGCGGCCGGTCTGTATGTGGGATCCGAACCCTCGGCGGGAGCACCGCCGCACTCCCAAGCGGCTCACTGTAGCAGTGCGCCACCGGGCCGGCCCCATGGATATATCAGTTTTAACTAGGTAGGTCCTCCCATGTCTCCCTGGGCTATTGGGAAACTCCCTCCCTTGCTCCCTGTCCTTTGTTTTACCACCTCCCTCTTCCTTATATACTCTCCTCACCTCCACCAGAGTTACCTTGGTGTAATGTAAATTGGGTTGTGTCTCTCTTGTACTTGAAACACTTCAATGGCTCCCTATTGCCTATAATGACAAAGGAGAAGCCCTTCACCAGGCCATGCAAAGGCCCTTCATGATCTAGGCCCTACTTTTCCTTCCCTGTTACTCTTGACCTTGCACTTAAAGCTGGTCCAAGATGCTTAGAAGCCCTTCACCAGGCCATGCAAAGGCCCTTCATGATGTAGGCCCTACTTTTCCTTCCCTGTTACTCTTGACCTTGCACTTAAAGCTGGTCCAAGATGCTTTCCATTCCACAGAACATCTCACTGTTCCAAATATGTGCATCTGCTCACTCTGAGGTCTCTACCTTCACCTGCCCTGTGAGACTAAACTGAAACGCTACCCTCGCTGCTAACACCTTGAACGTTTAAACTCCACATGCCTCAGGGTCTTCATCTGCAGAATAGGGGTAACTGTAACTATCTTACAGGATTGTTTGAGGATTAAATTAGTTAACACAGGTTAAATACTTAGAACAGTGACGGGCACACAGTAAGTGTTAGCTCTGGTAATGACAATGGAGAAAAAGAAGGAGGGGGAGGGAGCAGAAATAAATAGGTGCAGGAGGAGCAGGAGGAGCAGGAGGAAGAGAACTAGTTGTTGAGAAAGGAAACTTTTCTAATGTCCCTAGATAAAAATGACCATGGCCTGATTTCTGTCTCTACTATAATTGTGTTATGTGTGTACATATATTATCCACATGTATTTGTATATACATATAAATTATATGTCACACCCAATTGCATTAATATGCTCACATGTGTGATTCCAAAACTAGACCGTGATTTCTTTTCACAGTCTAGTAAAAATAAGAACAGTGACTTATTCATTCATTTATCACCAGCACCTAGAACAGTGCCAGGTACACAGCAGATATTCCCAAGTGTTACTAAATGAATTCAATAGACAGTCCCAAAGTCAGCAGAACCAACCACAGGAGAGCTAATAAGTATTCTAGATTCTCAAGAATATAATAATATATTTGGACAACAAAGTCCTTCCTCCCATAAAAAATTAGGCCTTCAATAATTGAGGAAATAATTAAGGAAAAACATGTCTGTAGTAGTCACGCCTACACTGAAAAAGCAAAGCACCCAAAGGTTCAGGAGCTTCATATACATGAAGCCAACCTACCAGATTGACATAGTATTTAATAGCAAAAATAGGTAAAACACTGGTAACATTCAGACCATATCACCATTTTTGGAGCCTTCCATGTATACAACATGTGTGCAAGCAGCTCAGCAGAAATCTAAGAGAAAGAAGAAGGGCTGAAAGGCCAGAATTCTCCACTGTCTAGTCACAGGAAAAGAGACTGTTGGAAGTAGATCAGTGTTTGACACAGAATTGTAGTATTCTTTGCTATCCACTGGAATGTAAGCTAACTTCACTAGAACGTAGTTCACTTAGGAAAGGGAACTTGTCTGTCTTGTTCCCCTGCACCTAGAACTTTATCTGTCATAGAGTAGACATGCAATAAATACTCATATTTGTTGACTGACTGACCGACCTTCATTAAAAAGTTTCAGTTCATGGTGCTAAATATGGAAATACTTTAAGCAATCATAGGATATCAAAGGGCTGGAAGTCAATCTAAATTTCATCCCCAACAACATCACCAGCATCACAACCTGATGTCCTGCAACTTCCCTCCCCAAGTTTCAACCTTTGGTAACAGGGAACATAAATAACATCTGGCAACAAGACAATTTTAAACATAAAAAATACTTCCATACTCTAGAATGAAATCCACCTTGGCATACCTCCAGTACACTGGCCCTAGTTATACCTTCCAGAACAACACAAAACAATCCAAAACTCATTTCCAAAGTACAGCCTTCCAGGAACCTGAAAACACCTCTCCATCCTGTTCTCTCCCCCAGCTCTCTCTCCTGGATAAATATCCCTGAGTACTTCAATCCCTCACAGAACCGTCCTGCCCTTCTCCACCGCGGTGGGTGTTCTGCAGCTTGGCTCCACATTGCCAATGTCCCTTTAGAGTGTATGATTAGATCACAGTACAGCGAAAACTCTCAGCCCCTGGTCTGGACACTACACCTCTACTAACTCAGCTGAGATTGCTTTACTGCTGTTTTTGCTTTTATTGCTGTCATCATTGCTGTTTCACTGTGAACTGGCAGGAAATTAACAGTCATCAAAAACTCTTCAGTTTTTCTCACACTTGCTGCTGTCAAATCTTATTTTGGATTTTTGCATTTGGATTGTTGTGGTGTGGGGGAGCATGGGATTAAGACATGTATAAATTCCCCCTTTAAATTCACATACCTTTCTTTCCAAAACCCCTCAGGACTCCTGGTATTAGAGATTTCACATTTCAAAATAAAAATAGCTTCAGATGACAGTTGTTCACATTATATTTGGGTTTGTCTTTAGAGTTAGAATTAAAGAAAATCGCAGATTTTTGTGCCACAAGGGACCTTCAAAGTCACCTAAACTGACTCTGAGAGGCTAATCTGCTTCTAAAAGCTGGGGCTGGAATTCAGGTCTTTGAACTCCCAAGTGCAGCGTTTTTTCCACTATGTAGAGCAGCCTTGACAAAGGGCAGAAGCTCTCCATAAACCACTTAGGGTTCTGAAAAACTGTCTTTCAAGTTTAAAGATGAAAAGCCATTTCCAAAAAATGACTCAATTTGTAGCATTTTTTTTTCTTACCACTAAAAGCTAGAAATAATTATTTCTATTAATTTAGAAAATAATTTTAAAAATTGATGGGATGCAGCAGGCCTATTCTCTTCGCAGAAAAAAAAAAAAATTGAAAAACCCAATTATATCCATATGCAAAATATGGGCCCAGCAAGAGCATGTTTCAGGTACTAAGAAAAATACACAGTTATTCAGCTCAGCCACCGGATGGCACTGCAGCCTCATTTATATCAGCTTATATCATTTGAGGAAATGACACAATAATTTCAAAGTTGGAATTTACCATTTATGTAATGGCATGCAGAATAATTCAACAATAACTGTTCAAGCTGCATAATTTACCAGTCTATTTCAGTTTCATAGTAAAAAAAACAGAAGTCAATAGTTTCTGAGAATGAATAGATTCTACTGTATTCTTTAATATGTTAAGTATTATCCTACAGTTTAAATGCCACAGAGGAAACTACAGATTATTCCATAAACAAAAGCAAAGTGGCCATATGTCTTTAGGGAAAGAGGTTTCAGAAATCTGACCACCCTCTATTCCCTAAGCTTGTGCTGGTGACCTGCCTCCACACTAAATGATGTCTTACCCCTCTGCGGAAGAGCCCCTGGGTCACTCCTGGTCCTCAGGATCTCTTCAGGAATCATGTCAAAAAATATCAACCTCTCCCACATAGCTCCTCCGCTTGAGTAGGTAAACAAAAATAGGAAGGGACATGACAGCATTCAATTTAGTCAACAGACAAGCACCATTATAGTGGTGTTGAGAGGCAGTTCAGTGTGCATTGTCTCTGGCCTCAGCTACACCTCTGTCTGGATTTGCAACCTTGAGCAAATTAACTTTTTGGAACCTTATTACTTCCTCATCTATAAAATGGAGGTAGTAATAGCAGCTCTCTAAAGTGGCATGCAAGGATTAAATGATATAATACAGAAAAGTGCTTAGAAGCATACCTAACAGATGGGAGGCATTCATTCAATAAATGTTGATGATGGTGGTGATGAGGGTGGTGGTAGTGCCCACCACATAAGACTGTGGTGAGCCTTAGGTATGCAAAGCCCTTTACATGGTACCTAGCACATAGTAGGGATCCAATAATAAAAACAAAGTGTAGCCATAATGCCTAGATCCTATGTAAATGGAGTTTAGATTGCTCTGGAATGACACCAAGAACAGCCTGAGGATCTATTTCTTCTTCTGTCTTATGCTATAACAGACTTGAACTCAAATGTCACTATAGAATTAGGGTCCCCCAGACCAAGGAGGACTCAGACATGGCAGTACCTCCAAGGGTTTGTCTCCACTGAACAGACCCATCAAGTTCATTTATAGCCTCAGCTCAGGAATCAATTTACCAGCTGGGGGGTTGAAAATTTCTGGGTAAAAATTATTAACTTCCTTGAAATTTATTATACTGAACAAACCAAAAGAATTTCATCCTGATCTTCAGGTGCCAACTGTACAACCACCTGTCACCCCAAAATTCTTGCACCTCTCACTCCCCCTGTTCCCATCCAACAAGAGTGGGATGATAGAAATAGCCCCCTCCACCCCTTATTCTGTCAGAGACAAACTCAAGTTCTATGCGGGGGAGAGGAGATGTCTTACATAGGTTATAAATAAGAAATTATTTTAACATGACTATCACATTAAATTAAAATTCTCTCAGCATTAACAAGTACAAACACTAACAGTCGAATGTTGGCACAGACATCTCTGCCCTTCAGAGCTCTGGCAGGCAAACGCTGTAGCAGATCAGACTGATAGCTCTGTGAAGTGGTATCTGTTGTTACAGCAAGTGCATAAGGAGTATGCAAATTCTTTTTAGGGAATCATCTGGAACTGAATGTCGAATTGTTGGAATAGTCTATAGGCCAAATTTACATTTTACACGGGACAGTCTCCCCTCAATTTAATTCACACTCAGAAAAGCTGGCACAGTTTGTTCAAGTCATCATCAGTATTAGAGCTTTTTAATTTGAGGAATAAAACAGAAAGAGAACACACAATTAATGTTATCCATTGGGTATGCAAATATCTTTGCTTCTATTTTTATTTTTTAAGTGTTGCTGACTTTTAAAATACTTGTTTTTCGTTTTCAGGAAATAAGAAAAAAATTATCTCTTCTGAGTGTTAGAATATTCAGAGTAAGGTTCTGCATGGAATAAAAAAGAATAAAGTAGTAATGTTTCAGACGCCAGTGACAACTCAAGCAGGGTCTCAACTAGAGTAGATTCGCCCTTCTTGGCCTACGTTCCAATAACTGGAAAATGAATACAGGGAATTAATATATCTCCTGCAGACAACAGTGCTACCAACATTGTAGAGAAGTCAACAGAAGTGTCAGCAACTTCTTCAAGCTAAAACTGAGCAGTGAGTACTAGTAAGTGAGAATCTTACTAAAAAATAAATTGTCCTTGCCCTTGGCTCATGACTGGCTTAGAGAATTCAGGTGTTAATTCATCGAGCTAGCATGCGGGCCATAAGCAAAGTGCAAGCACTTGAAGCAGAATAAAACCCAAGATCCATAACATGACATAAATAGGAGTGAAAGGGGGCATTATTCATAATTATTCCAGGACAACAGGCATAAACCAGGACTATCCTGGGCAAGCCAAGATAGATGGTCACCCTGTAGATACAGTAACCAGATGGATGTTCAGTAGCGCGTGTGACAGATGTTACTATCTGAAAGACAGAGGGACACTGGAGAATGTGTATCAATTTTAGGAATTCCCTTTCTTTTCATTTACACCTTATTATTCTCATTTTTACATATGATCACTATTAAAGTAAAACTAAGAACAATAAAACTATAATATATATCCATTAAATTTTGTTATGTAATTCACGAAATATTCTTTGTTTAATATTCAATGCACTAAGTAACAGAAGTCTTAAGAAAAAACAGAAAATATAGAAAAAAATATTTTATCAGGACATTTCATACCTTGGAAGACTGACCTATGATCATTAATTTTCTGCAAATGGTGTAAATGTATATGGTACCTAGATGGAGAAAAAATTAACATGTTTTACAAACAAATGATGAAAATTTTATATTCCAGTTTCTGTGGTGTAGGTCTGTGGTTCCCAAAACAAGTGATCTCATGAGAGTCTGATAACTAGTAGAGAGTTATAATCATCATAATTTTTCTTGTAACTTGTGGACAAAATCATTAAAATAGCTAATATATTCATATTTTAAATACGTTAACACAGAAATATTTTAGTCTCATTTTAAAGGCAATTTAAGTTTTGAAATATACTGAACAAAAAAAGCATTTTTAGTGGCATAATTTATGTACCTTGTGTTTTTATTAATTCATATAAAATGTTATTGGTTCCCATGGTTTCCTTATGGTTGAAAACTATAGATTTATCTCCAAATAAGATTAGAATACATATTTAATCACCATGGCACAATACTCAACAAGGAAACTAATAATAATTTAAAAACCATAATACATAAGCAGGTTACATTATATTCATTCACAGTTTCATATAACATTTATCCCATTATTAAGGTAAGTCCCATCTAATAAAAAAGTCCTCTCTAATACAAAATAACATTCCAACACCTATGGAAGATCATCTAAGTATAATTTAATGTCAGGACATTAATTAAAAGAGGGTAGGCTTGTGGCAGGGTTGAAAGTATGGATTTAGAACAACATCACTATACACCTGTCTGTATACAAAGGACATTATCAAGCTATGAACATACTCTTTAAAAAGGAATGTAATTGTAACAGCAAGTAGGCTAAATATTTTCTATAAAATATCTGATTTTAAATCCATAACCATCAAAATTCAACAAGTATAAATCCTATGTTCACCTTTGAACTTTAAAATTGTCTGAAAAAACAGCAGCTGCTCCAAAACATATCACTTGATTAAAACACAACTTGTAGGCATAATAAACATTAATCACACAAAACAGTGGCAAAAAGAAATGGAATAAAATCTTAAACACTTATAGCACCATGAACTTCATAGAGAATGAACTGACCCTTAACATTCCAGGACTCAGCATTCTTAGTGTGACTGCTCCCATGAAATGTAGTTATTTACTTCATTTAGGATCCACTGGTGAAGAAGCAACTCAGCTAGTAACAGCTCAAGCCCAGAATATTTACCTCAACTTGGCTTTGTTGACCTCTACTCTTAATCTTTGAAAATAAAATTGTATAATTGTGTTTCTTTGTAGAAAAATATATAGTCACCAAGTAAGGATATGCACAGGAAACACATGCCTATTCACAAAACATGTGATTCAGGTGTAAGCCAGGAGCCTGTAAAAACATGTCAACAGGGACCTGGGGGACTTAAGAAGACCTCAGGAGACTGCCCTCAAGAACGACAAGGGCCCTCTGTATTTCAAAAATGTGCCTTTAGCTTTCCCAGTGCTAGCTCATCCTGACAACAAGTGAATCCTCCTTCAATAGCTCAGGGTCTTCGCGTGGCTCACAAATTCTCACTGCAGAAGCCAGATGGAGAGAGTAAATGGTACAGGATGACAGATAGACTGAATCTTTATGATCTCAGGATATCTCTGGAAGTTTGTTTTGTTTTGTTTTGTTTTGCTTTGCTTTGTTTTTGACCAAATCCTTAATATGAATATATTGCCTGGTCATGTGATTCCTTTTATAAAAGATAGCCACCATCAAAATAATCTATTCGAGGGTCTAAAATACTTGTGTTCATGTTAGTTGAGAAGTTTTTGTTTTGTTTTGCTTTGCTTTGTTTTTGACCAAATCCTTAATATGAATATATTGCCTGGTCGTGTGATTCCTTTTATAAAAGATGGCCACCATCAAAATAATCTATTCGAGGGTCTAAAATACTTGTGTTCATGTTAGTTGAGAAGTAAGATGTCATTTAACATTCATACACCCAGTTAGATTTTATGAAAGAATCAAAAATGGTTAAATATCTTAAGAAATCAAGGGTATGGATGTATAACGGTCAATTAAAAATAGAGTAGGTTTTAATTCGTCTTTTCTTTGACTTGTTAAATTCCAAAGTGTCAAAATATTAGGGGTTTTGTACATGCTAATCCCCCATTTGGAATGCCCTTCCCCCAAATATCCAGATGGCTCACTCCCCAAACTCCTTCAGGCATTTGCTTAGCTGTCATCACAGCGAGGTCTTCCCTGACAATTCTCTTTAAAATTGCAGCCCACCCCCAGCCCAGTCCCTGCTCTATCCCCTTCATTATTTTTCCTCTACAGCACTCATCACCATCTGACACTATTTAGTTTTGATTTATCATCTCCCTGAAGTAGAATGTAAGCATGAGAATAGGGTTTTTGTCTGTGTCCACTCCTGTGTCCCTAGAACCTAGAACAATGCCTGGCACATGGTAGGCACTCAGTAATTTTTAGATGCATAAATTAGAACAGAGACAGGAGTTAGTGAAACTAAGTATGTGCATCTCCCACAATCCAGCATCCTACTCCTGGGCATAGATCCCAGAAAACTCTCACACAGGTCTATAAAAGGACATGTGTAAGGATATTCACTGCAGAATTATTTGTACAATTAGAGAGGTAGGGAAAAGCAGGTGCCCATTCTTGGGGGTATATGGATATCCGGAACACAATCCATCATTTCCACCTCTCAAGCAAGACCCAACTTCAGGGCCCAGCCCTTGCGTCCGTCACTCACTCTTGAGCATAGAACCGCTGCTCCACCTCTGTCTGTCCCCGCCAAGATTTGTGAGCAATTTGGGTGGAGAGATGAGTCAGGAAATCATGGATCCTCTTGAGGATGATCAGGCACAAAAGCTTAACAATCACTGAACCAAAAAATCTCACCAAAGTTGGCCTCATCTCTGGCAGCAAATGTAAAGGCTAATTTCAATCAAAATGTCAAAACATGATTTGGGGTGGGTAAGGAAGGAAAAGGCTAGGAAATATACTTTCAGTTGCCATGGATGAGGGGAAATTCAATACATTTTCTTTAAAGTTATTTTGTCCTTGCTCTTATGCACATCAAACACACTGTCATTATTATTTTTCTTTTAAAGAAATCATCCGGAAAACAATACAGTAAATGACTCATTGTGACTTTAAAATAGAGAAAAACAAATGTTACATTTTTATAGCTAAGATTCATGGCTTTAGATATATGTATTATGTACATGTATGTGTGTGTGTATATACATACACACATATGTGTGTGCTGTATGCATGTGTCTGTGTATATACACACACAGTCCCAGATCCTCACTCAAAAACAGGTAGGAGGAGAAAGTGCTATGTAGACAGCCTTGAGAAGAGGACCAAATACATGCATGGATGACGCTTGGAACGAACCTAACCTACACTGGTCCTTTGATCCTTCACCACTTGTACTTTACATTTTCCCCACTTCTTAACTGTGGCCTCTGCTTTTTATACACCCCAAACTGGTTATCCCCACAGCCTTTGACCTTTCCTTCACTGGAAAACCCAAAAACATGCTTTATAAGTCCATACTTACCATGACAAACTAAAATGCAATACAAATGTAAAAAAACCTCACCATCATCCTACTATGAAATGTGTACATTTCAAATCACAAGGTAATCAAGTTACTGTGAAACTCGGCATTTAAATAATTTTCTGAAAGACAGAATGGAAAAGAAACTACATTGATATATACCATTGTAGATAATCCAGCAAAGGTGCTCCTGTGGCAGAGCCACCTGCATGATGAGCCTTAAGGAGGACAAGATATGCAGACAGTGGGTCACAGATTCTTTATTCTGCAGGTTTACATCACTGTCACAGACCAGCTGGTAGTTACACATATTTTTGCCATTTAAAGCATGAAACTGAAACACATGGGAAAATATAAATAAGGTTTATGCAACTTTGGAAAGCATTTCTCAAAAAGTAAAAAACTAAAATGGAAATAATTATGCTTAATTTAATAGCTTAGTATAAAAAGAAACATGATAAGATAGGTTTCTTTAAAACATCTATTTAGTTAAGATTAGGTTTCCTTAGTCCAAAGAAATTAAAAGCAAAAAAATGTACAAAAATCCTATTACCAAGAATATAGAATTGAATGAATTTTTGTAAGCTCACTCAGTTGGCATTTTAACCTACTTATTGATTCAGGTATAATTATGAGCATTTACACAATTCACTTAGCAAATGTTATTGAGCACCTGTATTTGCCATACTCTGCTAGGCAAGAGGGGCTCTAAGATGAGAAAGAAAACAGCCCCTGCTCTTGGCAGAGGGAAAAGCATTCCAGGCACATGCAGCATTAGTGATGCTTAAAGTAGCTGGGGTGATCACTGAATTGAAAGTCTTTTGTAAGTTTAGATAAGAAGGTTTACGATAAAGAGGTGAGGCTATGAGGTGGCCCAGGATCAGAACACAGAAAGCATTCCATGTCATTCCAAGGAATCTGGACTTTAGCCAAAAGGCAAAGTCAAAGAGCAGTAGAATAAAATGATTGATTTACACTTTAGAAATTAATTCTGACGAAGTGTGGAAACTGGAAAGTAGAGTGGTGAAAGCTACAAACAGGGAGATGAGGAGAGAACTTTTCCCCAATGGGGTACCAGCCTACACTGCCCAAAATTATCATTCATGCATCTATGGCACAGCCAAATTGAACTGTTCAATGGTCCCCCAAACATGTTTCAAGATATTCTGTTGATTTACTACATACTGTTTCCAAGGCCTTGAATAATCATTAAGTTTGGAATAACATAGATTTGGAGTCAGACTGATCAAGGTTCAAACACCAACCCACTGCTTTAAGGGGGCTGGTTTCTTAATCTATAATAACCTTCAGTTTTCTCATTGTAAGAAAGACACAATATTACCCACCTCCTAGGATTGTAATGAGGCTGCAAGATAATAATTCATATAAAGCATTTAACAGAGT